GGGGCGACGAAAAAAAAAAAAAAAAAAAAAAAAAAAAAAAAAGATGACCTGACAGGGCTGTGTGTGTAGTCCGGGGGAGACACGGCAAAGATGGGCTGAGTGCCCGTCTGGGAAGAGCAGACCCCAGTTCCCAGCATTTCCAGGGAGCAGGCTATTCAAGCACCGGATTGCGGACACCTGGGCCACAGGCTGGGACACAGCATGGCAGGAGGTCAGCCTCCACCCACACTTAGGCAGCAGCTCCCGGCCCTCTCCCAAGCCTGCTGGGCACACACAGCCACACTGCTGGGGCCCGGACTCCCCTCCTCTTCGTGAGGCCCGGGATCCCCCAAGGGGGCTGGGCCCATGGCCCCAGCTGCACACAGGGCAAGGATGGCCCTCCTTCCTCCAAGCAGGGCCTGGCCACGCATGACAGACCCGCCCAAGACCAGAGCGCCAATGCTGCTGCACACATCTGCTGTGACCAGGCCCGACACCCACCGACCACATCCCGACTGCCGGCTGCTACAGCTGCTACAGCTGTATTGGACACAGCTAATCCGATTTCCTGTCTGGCAGCCGTGCAGCTGGGAAGGGACAGCTGAGGGCCCAAGAACGAGAGGGGGTGAGGTGGAGGGCTGCAGCAGGGTGCTCAACGCTGCTCCCTTGGGCCCCAGTCCACACAGGGAGAGACTTCCAAGATCCCACGTATCTACAGGAAATGGGACCACTTCAGAAGCCCCAGGAGCTCCCCAAGGCCAGAGTGGTCCCTGTTCTTTAGGGGCAAACTGGGGCACAGAGACAGGCCTGCCGTGTAAGGTTACACAGGTTGTACACTGCATATGGCAGCCAACTGAACCAGGGCAAGTTGGGGCTGAAACTTAATCCACACTCCAATTGCTAAGCCATGACACTGGCACAAGGGTACATCCACCCAGAAGGGCCACCTTTACTGAGTGTCACAAAACGAGCCTCTGTGTGTATTAACAAGGGCCTACACCAAGACCTGAGTTCAAACCCCAGCTGTCACCTTGCCAAGCCTGCTGACCTCTCTGGTTCTTCTCACTGCGAGATGTGTTACTGACATGCTTCCTACAGGGAATAAAGCAGGGGAGCCCCTGGTACCCCTACACCTGGAAGACTGGTCCTCCACCGGGCTGGCTCCCACACCTGCACACCATGTGCCACGCGCAGAGTGGCTGAGAGGAACAGAGGACACATTGGGGCAGGCCCAGGGTGTCTGCTCCTAGGACTGGGGACCAGACCTGGGGCCCCCACACTGAGCGACATCCCAGCTCTTCCTATTATGTTTTATATTGAGCCAGAGTCTCATTAAGATGCTGCTACCCAGGTTGGGCTCTAACTTGAGTCCTCCTACCTCAGCCTGCCTTCACTCCCTGCACACTGCCAAGCATCAGCCAGACCAATGGCCACACAGCAGTCCCAAGGCCAGGGTAGGAGACCAGGGATTCCCAGGAAGCTCCCAGTGAGCTCTAGCTCAGGGCTCTCTGCCTGGGCGGTGGGAGCTGAGACCCCACGGCGGTTTCCAAGACTGGAGCTTCCTCTTGGGAACAGCAGCGGACTGGCCCTCTCCGTAGGACCTACTGTGCTTCCTCAGCAGAGAGCCAGGGTCCTGGCTCCCCCCGCTGCGGCAGCCATTCATCCAGGTGCCAGGCACCGTGCTGGGCACCGGGCAGTGGCAGCCAGCAGGACAGCGGGTACCCAGCCTATCATCCCAGTACTTGGGGGGCTGAGTTGAGGCAGGAGCATCACCGCAAGTTCCAGGCCATTCTGGGCTACATAGTGAGACCCTGTCTCAGAAAAATCAAAACAACAAAAACACAGCCAGAGAGCAAAGGCCAACCTTCTGACAGTACCCAAAACCTGCTGCTGGGGATTGTGGGGAAGCCCTATTCAGCACCTTCTCTCTAACCCTCTAGACAGGGAGGCCTGTGACACACATGCCACCCACCCCAAGCAACAAGGGCGCTGCCACAGCCACAGGCCTTGGGACCCCAGATCTGTCAGGGTGTGGCGCAGGCAGGACACCGGACTGATGCCCATTCCCTCATGGCCCTATTTATCTGGGGTGGGCATTTTTTTAAGCCAAAGGTCAAAGTGTTTCTATTTGAAACATCTATTTACATTCCAGAGTCCAAAAAAGAAAAAGCAATACAGGCAGCCAAGCCCTGGGCCTGTGTCTGTCCCAGCCGCACGTCACAGGCAGCACCGTGGTCCTCGGGGACATTCCTGCCCTCTCCCAGTGCTGCCGGTGACTCACGCCTCGCCACGCCTCGCCTCGCCTCGCCTCACCAGGGTGGCGGGAGGCCGGCTGGGTGTGGGCTGGGGGACAGGTACTGGAGGCTGAGGGGTACGTCCGGCTCGTGGGCACAGCCGGGCAGGAGCTCAGGCCAAGCACTTGACCGCAGACATGGCTGGCATAGGACAGGGGGACAGAACTGAACAGCCACTGCTCAGGGGGATGAGGGCAGGGCTGCAGCCAGAGCTGCAGGCTGGACTGGCAGAGACAAGCCAGCCTACTCAGACCTCCTAGGGCCAGAGACTCCTCGGTGGGCTGCAGTGGCACCCTGGGGAACCTGCACTCACACAGAACCCAAGCTTATCCCAAAGCTCAGAGCCAGGTCTCAGGCACCAGGGGGCTTGCAGCTCCCCGTCCCGATCAGAGCTAGGACTCCCCACAGCACACACACCTGCGCACACACGCTCACTCACGTGCCAGGCCATGGCCAGGAGGGCACGCGGGCATGGGTCCAGCACCCCTCCCTGCAGGAAGCATCTTGTGGTGCCGGCCTGGTGGGGTAGCTGTGCCAGGAGGGCCTGGTGCTGCCACAGGTTCTGGGAGTGGGTAGGTGTGGCCGCTGGGGGACCCCACCCCCAAGCAAGGCTCAGAAGGCATAGGTGAGGCCAGCAGGCCCACCTGGGCTGGACTGAGCTCTGTGCCCAAAGGCCAGGGTGGGCACCGAGGCCCCGACACCTCAACCCAGCCTCCTCCCCGAGGTCACTGCACCTGACCTTCTACCCAAGCCAGAGGTGCTGGGGGACCATCCACGCTACGGCTTCCCCCAACCAGCAGTGTGACCCTCTGAGGCCTCAGGCCAAAGGATGCCAGGGCAGGCAGCCCAGCAGCCTGGTCCAAGAGGACAGGGTCCCTGGGAGGTGACCGCAGGAGCAGGCCTCCATGAGCAGCCAGGGCAGTCCCACCTGAGGCAGGCACGGGGCAGGTGGCGCTAACTCACCTGCCACAGCGATGCTGTGCAGTGGTGTCCGCGGCAGGATCTCCAGGGACGGCTCCCGGCCAGCCACGCCATCTGCTGAGAGAGGGGGCTCCGTCTCGTGGATGGTCTGCAGCACCTCCAGGAAACCCTGCACCTTGGGCACCAGCAGCATTCCTGAGAGTGCGGGGTGGCAGGTGGACAGTGGCTGCGGCCCTGGAGACTCCGCGGTCACCAGGGGACCTGCGCGGTGTTGGGGTGCCTCATCTGGCCGTGCACAGGCACAGCTGGGCAGAGGCCTGGGGCACGGAGTGGGGGCCACCGGCCAGGCACGGGAC